AAAAAAAAAAAACTCATGTAAAAAGGTTTCACTTCTTGATATCCTATGTGTACTTATACTTGAGAAGTTTGGTCTGTTAATGACCAAAAGCAAACTGTAACAATAAAAGAAGTATCCAGCAGGACCAGGGAAAGTATGTCCATGATATGAAATTGAATGCAATAGTTTTAAAATGAAAACCATATGGATAATTTATCAGCACTGGATGACTGATAATGTAACTCCAGTCTCGTAGAAGTGCTGCTCACAGACATATTCTTGACAGGTGACACACCTGAACCCAAATTACCATCACAAGAAGTCTCAGGAGAAAAATCAATGGCACAAAGTTGGAAAAATGTTCTTTTTCTGATATAGTAAAGGTCTTTCTAGGGTATCACAGGAAAAAAAAGTGAAGGAATTAGTCATTTGATTTAAAAGAAAAAGCATTCCAACTTTTAAACTGCAAAGATCATCTCTCAGCTCTCCAAACTGACAGAAGAGATTGAAAACCTCTGAAGGATCAGTGTCTATATTCATCCAAATTTCAAGTCTCTGTAGGAATGCTACATTTGCCATAATGTTTCTTTTAGAAGACAAGGAGTCATTTGATAGTTTTGTCAGTCAATGAGTGTATGATCTGTAATTGCCTTTAACTGGTTTTCATCCCAGCATCCTGAATCCCCAGAGGAACCTTCTTTTCTTCTGGAAGTAAGTCCTAAAGTAAATTGTCCTCATTTTCCACTGAGATCTGAATGTCAGTTTTGTTTTTTCAAGGGATTTTCTTCTTTTGAAAGGGGAGTTTCTTCCCCTGCTGGGGAGCAACAGGGAGTGTTTCCATAATCCATGCTGGATGAGCTGGGCTGCTCTGGGCACTGGGAACTGCAGTCTGGGCTACAAACCTTGACAATACAGGTCACACTCACCTGTGTCCCTCCATTACCAGAAGGCTCTGCCAAATAAACAGAAAACACATTAAACATGGGAGAAGGAAACCCAGAGCAGGACAGCTGGATTCTTTATCCAGTTCTTTGACTTGCAGTTTAAATAGACACTAAAAACCTTCTTGCTTCACTTAATTTAGTCAAGCTGGTGGAGTTGGTTCCATGACACTTTGGTGGGGGGTTTTGGGGGTCTATAAAATCCATGTGTCACTCCAGAAATAAAAAAGCCATAAAAAGTAACACAGAGCCCTGGTCACAGCCACTTCCCTGCACATCTGCTGCCATTTCAGATACTTTTGACAATATTCCTTTCTTCCTGCTCCCTTTGGCTCATGCTCCCACTCACAGGTAAGTGCCAACCACCTGATCCCCTGCTCTGCAATGAGGAGCACATTGTCTCTCCTTGCTGCCTCAGGGAGGCCAAACCATGACTTTTTCTTTTCATACTTTACTAGGTTTTCTCTCTGCTGTACAGGAGTTTGATGTCTTATCCTGCCATTTAGACTTCTGCTAAGAAGACTCATCATTGACACTCAATTCCAATCATTCCTACCTGAACTCGCAGAGCTGTGCCTGTCTCCACTGTGGAGCTTAGAACCTTCTGCACATAGATGTTGCTGCTGGAATCCTTCTGGTTTTCTCTTTTCATCATTCTTTTCACTTACTGCACTGACTCTTGCAGTTGGGTTATTCAGGGTGCTACTGCTGGACCCAGAAGTCTCCAAGAGATGCTGTTCCTCCTGTTGAGAACTGCTGGAGTTCTGCAATCCTGTATCACTCACTTTTATGTCACACTGCTTTTCTGAGGGGGGAAAAGGCTGGAACATGTGCAGAGAAATGTAGAACATAAATCTTTTTTAAAAACAGTAACTGGTCAGTACTTCAGCAGACAAAAAACCCACTGGTGACTGGAACTAGATGGGCTTTAAGGTCCATTCCAAGCCATTCTGTAATGGCCACTTGCATAGTGATGACTGGAAGTAAAATTCATACCAGATCATTAGGGGTTCAACAAAATAAACCTCTCTCCTGAAGGCACCTACAGCACTGCACTGGGTATGTAGGGAACAAAGGCTCTGAAATCTGATTTTCTGTTTTACTGCTAAGAAAGCCTCACACAAGGTGAGGATGGTCATGTGGGTTATGTAAGGTACATCTTACACTCTGACTTGGGGACCAAACCACCCCATTCTCACTCCAGTTGTCTTTCTGCTGTGCATTTCTCTCTCCTGAAGGCACCTACAGCACTGCACTGGGTATGTAGGGAACAAAGGCTCTGAAATCTGATTTTCTGTTTTACTGCTAAGAAAGCCTCACACAAGGTGAGGATGGTCATGTGGGTTATGTAAGGTACATCTTACACTCTGACTTGGGGACCAAACCACCCCATTCTCACTCCAGTTGTCTTTCTGCTGTGCATTTTTTGCTTAGACTTGGGGACCAAACCACCCCATTCTCATTCCAGTTGTCTTTCTGCTGTGCTTTTATTTTTTCTGCTTAGAATTAAACAAGACTGCATGATTTTAAACTTTTAAAGAAATGGAAAAGATGGAAAGGGACAGTGAGACTCACCAACTTGTCTTCTGTAGCTGCTGCTGAGTACCTAAGGGCTGCAAGTGAGCAAAGACAGTTCATTAGCACCCAAATGTGTGTCAGCTGCAAAAGCTGCACTCTTAACTAATCACAGTGATGTCCTCAGCTCCTGGAATAGACTCCAAATGTACATTCATTACACACAGTTTGAAAACATTGAAAGCTGTACTGCATTAATTCTGGGAGATGACTTAAATTTAGGCAGCAAGCAGAGAGGAGTCTCTGCATGAATTAACTGTTCTAGTATAGTGCCAGTGAGAAAGGGTTTTGATGGCAATAAACTACAGCCATGTCTGTTTAACAACACCTGATAATGCCTAATATTTAAATATGAAGTACAAAACATTTAACAAGCTCCAGTAGAAGCACAACCATTGCACGGTTGTACAAGGATGTTGTGTGTTTAGACAATCACCTAAAATCTGAGACAGATTTGAAGAGAGCTGACATCTCCTAACACACTGACTTTGATCAACCACCAGGCTCAAATGAGTGGGAAATAAGGTGACATGTTTTCCAGTACTTACAGATTTGTTTCACCTCATGAATCTTACCTTTTCTTTTGGAGACTAAGCAATATCCCAAAATAATGATTATCAGGACCAACAACAATGTCCCTGTTACTGCTCCTGAAAAGAAATAAGAAGAGAAATTATTTAGCAGGTTGATCTGACAAAGAATCTAACTAGAAAAAAGGCAGTTTTGCCATTTCTGTCCATGGCTACAAGAGCTAAATTTACAAGTATCAGGTGTGTCTGACATTCACATTTGATGCCTCTCTTGTCAGATACCAAAGTCTCATTTCAGTCACCACCACTTCATAAAACTGAGGTTTCCTGTCCTGAAAAGTGACTTTTGGCCTTGCTCACAAAAGATATATCTCTCTGGGATAGCAACAGTTTGTTAAATACAAGGTCAGGCAGCCCAGAATGCTCCTAAACATCTATCTATGCCTTCTGGATGACCTATGAACAGGAGAGAACCAATCCACACTTGTGAGTGCTGTAAGGACCTCCTGTCCTGGGACAGAAGCTTCCAGAAGCCTCCAAAGACCTGTCACCAGGAGGTTTATGAAGTCACGTTTGCCTCAGTCCAGATTCTAAGATGTGACCTTTTCTACCAGCTCCTTTATAGCAGCAATTCTCAGGAAATACCTTTTTATACTCTAGTTTGGAGGTTTTTAGAAACATTTCCAGAATTCCAAGGATTGTAAAACACACTGGGGCAGTACAGATGCAACTCACTGCAAGCAGTGTCACATTGAATTAATTCAGCCCTTCCGAGGTGCTGTTTGCCTACAGGTAATTGGTTTTAGAAAGAAACCAAGAACTAAATATAAACTTGGTTGCTAGGCAGACAAAAGTGACTTTAAACGAGTTAAAGCTCACCAATGATGTGAGACAGGTCAGGGAGAGAGTTTAACATGACAGGCTGAGTTATTACTTCAGGGCTGTGGGAAGCTGAGCTTTGAGTCAGAAGCTGGTTCAGAATGGTGTGAGGTAGAATTGTGGCTGTTTCTGAGTCACTGCAAACAGTGTCATTCTTGCTGTTTCCAGGAACAGCCACTGATTTACAACTGCAAGAAACAGAAACACAGGTCAGGAAAAGCAGCAACCCTCTGCACAGTTCAGACTGCTGTTGGACAGGAACATTGGCTTACACTGTGTGTGGTGTACAGGTGGTGTCATAGGATTCCTCAGGGGAAAACGTGCCAGGGGGACAAGGTTTGCATTCTGTGTCTGTGCTCTCTGTCCCTTTAAACAAAGAGGAAAACACAGTTAGTCATCTGGTGAGAAATCAGAGTGAATAATCAAGGTGTGCACAAGATCCTGGCAGTGATGCAGAGGCAGTGCATAAAATACAGCCTTTAAGTGTCACAGGAGAGAGTCATTTGACCACCCAACCCAAACCCAAATCAGAAGATGAACCAGCTGTTGGTTGGTGCCCTTGACAGCCAATCTTTTTCACAACCCACCAAAAGGTTCAAATGTGATGCTGCAGACAAAGCTGAGCTTTTCACTAGCCCCTGCCAGACTGACCACCATTCTGTAGGAGTTCTGCAGAGAATCAAGGAATTTAGGAGTTGGAATGGACCCAACCCCCTGCCCTGGGCAGGGACACCTCACTAGATCAGGTTGCTCAAGGCTCATCCAGCCTGGCCTTGAGCACCACCAGGGTCAGGGCAGCCACCACATCCCTGGGCATCTTCTCAAATGATTCCTAACTTCCTAAAAATATTCAGTCTTTTGAAGTTTTGAATATTATTTATCATCTTGAGACAGATACAGTATCAGAGTGGTGGACTCCATCAGCTAATAAAACCAGATCAATTCTGCATGACAGCATGGAGTCATCATTATTTCCTGTCACCAAAATCCCACCCTGTTTCAAGGATTTAAAGAGGAATTAAGTGGTCTTCAGTCACTTGTACAGAATAAATCACACAGTGGAGCAAAGCAAAGGAAGATGAAGTTGGATTGGAAACTTTATGACAGATGTGGCAGTAGCAGATTGCCACATGTTGTCCCTTTGGATATGTCTCTGGAGAAAACAGTTGCTCTAGTTACTACCTACTTACTAAACAATGCTTATACTAAAAAGAATGTCCAACTGTAGGGAATTAGAGTAAAGTTAATTGTTCAGGAAGCAGAGCAGAGCATTCAGAATGAAATTACCTCTTCTGGAAACTCGGTAACCTTTGGCACATTTTTTATGCACTCGACACAGTTTGCAGTACTCATCTATCCTGGAGACACAGTACTTGTGGGGTGGGCAGCGACAGATCCTGTCCTGGGACCTAGTGCATGTTTGATTCTCCACAACCCCTAGTTTTAAAACAAGAATACAGCAAGATGCATTAGCCACATTTAAAATCACAGCCTGCAACGTTTCGAGAGAACCTGAGGTGATGTTCACATACCACAAGCTGAAAACAATTTTGCAGCTTCAGGCTAGTAGAGCATCATAAACCAAATATACTACATGCCCCAGTGTCTGTAGTTTCGGAAGAGTTTCCTCTCTCTCTCTCTAGGCAAGGAGAAATTTGCATCTGTGGAATGCACACTTCAAACTGTATCTGCAGTTGTGTTCTGTTTTATTGTAACCATAAACATGCACATTTGTGTTCATCACTGCAGTACCTGGGGGGCAGACTAAGAGATCTGCAGTCTGTGCACATCATGCAACTGGATTTAAAGCGCTTCATAAAATGAAGTGTATTTAAACTGTATTTAAAGTCTAAAGCGCTTCATAAAATGAAGTGTATTTAAACTGTAAGTGTGTCTGGAGACCTTACTGCAGGCAGTTTCATACTGCAATTAAAAAGTTTTGTAAGATGCATTTAGATGAGAGCACAAGCTCTTTCAGCTGAGACTGCATCCCTAAAACTTATTGCCAGTGAGTCAAGTAGGTCATTTTCTCCTCCAATTTCCATTGGAAATGATGGAGACATAAAATGAAGTGTATTTAAACTGTAAGTGTGTCTGGAGACCTTACTGCAGGCAGTTTCATACTGCAATTAAAAAGTTTTGTAAGATGCATTTAGATGAGAGCACAAGCTCTTTCAGCTGAGACTGCATCCCTAAAACTTATTGCCAGTGAGTCAAGTAGGTCATTTTCTCCTCCAATTTCCATTGGAAATGATGGAGAACAGCATGACTGAGTTTGTTAATGCACAGGACCTTATACAGATGTTGGTACTACCTCATGTAATAAGCTGTTTCAATGACCAGAACCATCATTCCCTCACTGACTTTGCAAGAGAAACAAAAACACTACAGGATTGTCACAACTGGTGTTTGCTGCTGTCAGTTCAGCAGACTAACTGAGAAAAGACTGGATGCTGGAAATATAATTATCCATTTACCCCTGTGGAAGTCTTAAGCTCTCTTGACTGCAGCTTCTAAGCAGGAAGTTATTCTCCTGATGGCACTGATCTATTTTAGTGATGCAGTGCCTTATTTTAACCTAAGGGTTCAAAGGGTTAAACCAAGCCTACTCTAAGCTGGCTGTTAAAGTCACAGGTGCCTCTTTACTACTCCAAGCCTACCTTTTCTGCAGGGTGGAGAGCAGGGAAAGCACTGTGGAGAGCTATTCCAGATAGCTGTGTACGTGTTGGGTCTGCAGGGACTGCACTTGGTGTCCACGATGTGGCTGCAGCTCTCTGCCTTGTATTGACCTAGTGTAAAAAAGAAACCAAACCAAACCAGAGGAAGCATCTCATTGGCAAAGATCACTAGGAATTGGTTAAGGTAAGTTTCATTCTTAGCTGTAAATCCCTTCCCTTCACTGACACTGCCAGAATGGTATTGTATACAAACAAGTGTTCTCACTGTGCCTATACAGAAATCAATCTCTGATTTCTTTTATGTGACTCATGTTTGACCCCTTTTCCTACATTCCAGACAAACTCAAGAGCTGTCAAAGGTAGTTCCTCTAAAGCTTCTCAGCACCAACAGAGCTCAGTACAGTGGTTGGAGCATGTAAATATGAGCTCAAACATATCCATTTTGGAGGAAGGAAAACACCTCAGTTGTCACTTTCCTTTCATGTCAAAGGAGAAGGAAGATAAAAGCCAATGTCTCATATCCTGTACTGAAATATCCTGGAAAACATACTCTAAAAACTAAAACATACTCTAACAACTAAAAAGCAGGAATAATACTGAAAAAAATCTTTGGAGCTCCTTGGAGAATCTGTTTTTCAAAAGCAGGAATAACACTGAAAAAGAATCTTCGGAGCTCCTTGGAGAATCTGTTTTTCAAAAGCAGAGCCCCTGGAGGTGAGCCATGTGAATTATTTCCAAAGACTTTGTTTTCCCATGTACTTACATGAGGCTTAAAATTCTGCCTCCCACATCCTGCCAATGAGTTAGGCTGATCTAGTACTGAACAGTACATACCACAACAGAAAAGGGTTTTACCTATGAATTATCATCTTTCGTCTGTCATGTTTTTAACAAAGGAAGTTTGACAGATCTATCTAATTTCAGTTAATTCAGGCAACTGCAGCTGCTTCAGCAAAAACTGATTTCCTGTTCAAGCTTCCGGATCTGGCAGAAATTCAGCATTTATGGAGACAAATTTTGTTTGCTCAGCATGTAACGAGGTAAAAAAGGCAGGTTTTTTGCTGTTTCTAATAATAATAGAGTTGCAATTTGTTACAAAAACTCTACTATTAAAATATTCAAAGAACATTACTATCCCCCAAAAAAAACCCAAACCCACCTTTCTGCAGACAACTTCTGCTAACTAAAGATCACTAAGAACTATCCCTGGAGGGGATTCCAGCTAGAATGCATTAAAACAGCAAAAATCTGACACACTTCAGGGGTATAAATCATCAAAATGCACTATGCTCATCTGAAAGTTGACTGAATTTGGCTGTCTGAAGTAACAGTTGGAATTATAACCTACCTGGAGGGCACTGACTGCAACATTTATCAAGTTCTTCATCGTAGAATTCAGTGCTGGGATCATTGCATCGTGCAAACTGTGGTGTGTAAGGCAGAGAATATTCCTAGGAGAAATTAATGGGAACTCATGAGTCACAAGTCCACTCTGACCCTGAATTAGAGATTCAAGAGGGACAAATACTTAAAGATCAGTGCAACTATAACCACCAAGGCCTGATGGAACAGAGCACAGCAGGTGCTAAGGAGCTGCAGGGGAATACACAGCTTAGGAGCTACTTGAAGACCATTTTGAGGTTCCTCTGTTTTTCAAAGATCTGCCACGGTGAACAAAGTGATTTCTCCAGGGTTTATGTTCAAAAGAGTGCAATGGATCTATGGGATTAACATCACACCTGATCACTGCCCCAAACCAAAGGGCTTAGTGCCTATCCTCAGCTGCCTCAGTTGGTTCAATCAACCTCTGCCAAAACAGCAGTGAAACCTAAATTCTTACCTGTGGGTTTGTGGGAAAAGCATTTCCTGCATAGTGGTTATGTTAAAAATGATCGGTTTCACCAAAGGAAAGGAAAAATTATTCCAGATACTTTGTGATTCCTTCCTGAATGAGAAAGACCTTGATATTTTGGATAGGATGTCTCCAAAAACTGCACTGCTGTTTCTGAGAAGCAGCACCTGGCTGCAAGACAAATATGCAGGACAAATGCATTAGAGAGTCAAAGGATCACAGAATCATAGAATCAACTGGGTTGGAAAAGACCTCCAAGATCATCAGGTCCAACCCTACTGTGGTCACTAGACCATGGCACTAAGTGCCACATCCAGTCTCAGCTTGAAAACCTCCAGGGATGGTGAATCCACCACCTCCCTGGGCAGCACATTCCAATGCCTGAGCACTCTCTCTGTAAAAAATCTCTTCCTCATATCCAACCTAACCCTCCCCTGGCAGAGCCTGAGTCTGTGCCCTCTTGTCCTGCTGCTGGTTGCCTGGGAGAAGAGACCAACCCCCACCTGACTCCAACCTCCTGGCAGGAAGTTGTAGAGGGTGATGAGGTCTCCCCTGAGCCTCCTCCAGGCTGAACACCCCCAGCTCCCTCAGCCTCTCCTCATGGCACTTGTGCTCCAGTCCCTTCACCAGCCTCGTTGCTCTTCTCTGGACCTGCTCCAGCACCTCAATGTCCCTCCTGAGCTGAGGGGCCCAGAACTGAGCACAGGATTCAAGGTGTGACCTCACCAGCACTGAGTCCAGGGGCAGAATCACCTTCCTGGTCCTGCTGACCACACTGTTCCTGCTCCAGGCCAGGATATATAGTGTGCCTGATTTCAGCTCACACTGATCAGCACAGCTCAGCGACTCCAATGAACAAGTGTCAAAATATTTGAGGACTCGCAGACTGTTTTCAAAGGGAAAAATACATTTACTCAAGAGACAAAGGCTGATGTCAGGTAGTGTGAGCGTAGGAGTTTCCTGCTAGATCAGAAAGGTGCTGTCTCAAAAGGATGTGACACTGCTCAGCTTTCTGCAGTCTGGAGAGATTGCTCCATGTATAATCTACACACATTTCGAAAAGTCATTACTGAAAGGAGAAATCAAAACAGGAACAAGCTCTTGGGAGGCCAGTAATGAAAACATCCTTCCTCCTTACTGAAAATCCTGTTGATTATCTATTGTGTCTTCACATTACTGACAAAAGAGACTAACTTCCCACTCTCAACAATCACTTAAAGAGAATCCAACATTTTCTTATGCTGCTCGTGGAAATATTTTTCCTCTTATCTAGCTCTGTATCAGAAACAGGATTTCACTCATCTACCCAATGCTCAGTGTCAAACAGAACTTTTCCTGAGAAGGCAGAGAAGAGTCTTACTGAGTTTATACCTCACAGGATGGACAACACTAAATCAGACTCTTTGCAAACATGAGCTGCCACTAAAGTCTGATGAAGGACAAAAAATCTCTGCTCTCATCAAAAGTATTTCTCATTTAAGTTACTTTCTTGTTTAGTAAAATAAAGATCAAGTGTTGTCATCACATTTTTGTAGTCACTATGATCAACGTCATTAAAACCAGCACTTGAGAGGCTTTTTAAAACAAATCTTCACTGCAAGCACAGACATGGGGGGGGAAAAGAGAAATACAATAAACCACATCACAAATTATCCTGCTGGAGAGACTTTCTGGCAAAAAATGCTCTGCACTGTCTGTTGTAAATCCTGCCCTGTGAGCTACAGACACAGGAAAACCTGTTGGTTGCTGTGTTCACACCTGTTTCTCTGAAGTTGTGCTTGAAAGGATCTCTCTGCTGCCTGATACAATCTCCCTGAAATTTTATCTGATGAGCTGTGTCTCTCAGGGACAGACAATTGACAATTTCTTCCCAACTGTCCTCAAAGAACATTATGGGAAACTAAAAGCGACTTGAGACTCGCTTGGATACAATTTTCATGCACACACTCAGCTTTGTTTGCCCTGGAAAGATTCCACTCATTTAGTACTTATTCCCAATGTAAACCAGTTTAATCCAAGCTGCCAAACCTGTCAGAGGAAGTGTAGAGCACTAACTAGTTATAAAACTCTCCTGGATTTCTTGGCTACAAGAGCCCACTTTTTGTAGCCGTCTCACCAATCCTAAGCTGTGAGTTGGGCCATACAATATTTGTGTCTGGCATCCAGATCCATTGGCTGCTCTGGGCTGAGACACTGATGAGTAGACAACAGATTGTACCCCATAATCTTTGCAACTTCTTACTGTTTGTATCTCTCACAGATTCTTACTTTACCTTCTGCTTTTACTGTGATTCAATGCTCTGCAAGCAGATTGTGGGAAGGAAAACTACCCTGATGCTGCACCTTTTGTGTGACAACCTTGGAACCTCTCAGAGTAGGTAGAAGTGTCTAATGGCAGATGACTTTTAAGATATTTATATGGACAAAATAAAGACTTTGGAAGGCTTAACTTACCTGGTACAAGTAGCAGTAAAATGCCTCATGCATCTAGCAGCAGAGGCACAAACATTCTTGAACATGAAGTTTAGTCTAGCTCTGTGCACATCCATCAAATGAAGAAATGCATTTTGGCATAGAAATGGGTAAACCATACTTGCCTTGCTGATCTGTGATTGCACAACTCACCAGAGCCACTTTTGCAATGCCTGTACACTAAGCAGTAACTAAGAAACTACTTAGAGGAAATCAATGGCTCCAGACTCTCTGGAGTCCCTGCAGTGCTTTTTCCCATCTGCACTGCAAATGCCCAGTGTGCAGGTGACCCAGTCTGTCACTGGAGAGGAGTGTTAGCCCAGCAGGCTCCATACCAACTGGGAGGACTTTATGTGCAGTTAAATTTAAGTATCTTCAGTAACAGAAATAATGGATTGTTGTGGTTTAACCCCAGCAGCAACCAAACCCCACAGAGCCACTCACACACTGCCCCACCAATGGGATGGAGGAGAGAATCAGAAAGGTAAAAGCTAGAAAAACTCATGGGTTGAGAGAAAGACAGTTTAACAGAGAGAGCAAAAGCTGCACACACACAAGCAAAGCAAAACAAGGAATTCATTCACTGCTTCCCACAGGCAGGAGGTGTTTGGCACCTCCAGGAAAGCAGGGGCCCATCACTCCAGATGCCCCCCCTTCCTCCTTCTTCCCTCCCCACCTTATATACTGAGCATCATGCCATATGGTATGGAATATTCCTTTGGTCAGTTTGGGTCACCTGTCCCAGCTGTGTCTCCTCCCAATCTCCCCTGCACCCCCAACTTCCTTGCCAGTGTGACAGGATGGGAAACAGCAAAGTCCTTGGCTCTGTGTGAGCTCTGCTCAGCAACAACAAAAACATCTCTGCATTATCAACCCCGTGCCCTGCACCTTTTTTTTTCTAAACATAACCCCCAACTAGCCACTGGGAAGGAAGTTAACTCTACTTCAGCCCAAACTAGCACAGTAACAGAAACAAAACATGTTACTATAATGGATGAATGTACATAAATTCATTTCACATCTTCGTTTTCACTCAAGAAGGCCATTTAAAGAGAGATATTTAAGGTTCTATTTAATCCTAACTCATATGTCTACTCCCCTATTGGTCTCCTTTTTATAGTTGCTTTCATCAAACTCAAGCTGACAGACAAAGGAGTCTGAAGAGGAACAACATCTGTGTACAATATTCTTTACGAACATGAAACCGCAGTGAAGTCACTGAGGCCTCTGTGGCAAAAATCTGTTTCTATGGAAAGGACTTGAGGTACAGAGACACCACTTGTGAGCTACAAACCTGCTGAAGTCAGGAAAAAACAGAATTCTGCCTAAAATATTGTAACTGGCCATTTATTAGTCATTCTGTTATCAGATACTCTCACCAAATTCAGCTGGAGCTGTATCAGGCTGCACTGACTGTACTCAAACCACAAAGCTGCTCTCCTGCACGTGTCTCTGTAAGGTATGGACCCATTATGGGAATTGTTCTCCCATCCTGGATTGAATTTCTGTCAAGCAGAAGTCCTTGTACAGCCACACACAGATCGACAGCTCCACATTCCCCTTCCCTGAGGAAATAGTGTCACTTTGCTTATTGTTAGGATTTCTCCTTCACTGCCACTCACCACCAGAATCTGAAAACATCTTCCCAGAATGAGATGGCAGGAGCTGCATGGAATACAGAAGCTATTCACAACATGCAAAAATTATAGAAGCAAGTCAGTGTTTGTAGGAAGACAGAGTGTATTTTATCATACATGTATTTGAAAGAACACACACATTCCACCAGCTCTTCTCTTCCTGAACTTCAGGCTGTTTCTGAATAACTCTGGTGACTGAGTTGTTCAAAATGGCAAAAATTGTCTTCAGTTCCTGTGAGTAACACAGGGACTGAGGGTAGGAGCTTTCAGAGAATTTCAGCTGAGTAAGACAACTCAAGAAATAGTGTCCCTCAAGTACTATTGCTTTGCCAGTTTATCTCCCTCAAGAATAAACTTAGTTTTCTCTAACAAATCACTTTTAAAAACTGGTGTAACAGGCAGTTTCCTTCCAGCTCTGTGGCAGATAAGTTTCATTTCTGAAACTACCACACTTGTTTTTCTAACTTATATATAGACTTTTTCTTGGCAT